GGAAAGAGCCCGTGCGGCGTGCTCGGTCTCCGTCTGGGGCGTGGTGGGGTGCGCCCCCGCAGAGGCGGGGGAGGTCGGGTGCTGCCAGCGGTGACGGTGGGGCCGAGGCGGCCCCGGATGGCGCCAGGGCACCCCCCACGAGGCGCAGGTCGCGAAGCTGTGCCCGAGGCGGGGGGCACACTGGACCACGAGCACTTCTGGCGACCTCCAGGGGGAGGAGGGAAAGGATGGGGTATGGCCAGGACCCCAGGTAAGGGGGCCCGGTTAGTGGTAGGGCCCCAGAGCCTCTGAACTGGCCAGAATCACTGAACCATGTTTGCCATAGCTGGTGTTTTTTCGGGTGACGGCAGTTCCAGTTAGTGGAAATAGGACGGGGGGGCGCCCCCGGTACAGATCACTAAACCAGGTTCCACTAAACCCAGTTCTGCCAACGCCCGAAAGGAGAGAGGGAGAGCATGGGTGGAAGAGTGGAGGGTGGGAGGGGGAGGGATGCCTGGTTGATCTGGGGACCCGTGGCATAGCAGTCGTCGACAGCCAGCCTGCCTCCCGCACACGGTGTGCTTTTCAGAGCCGTTGCCCTTCAGAAGTACTTGTGCTGTACGCTCCATGCGTAGCCTTCGATGGTCCTCTTCTCCTTCAGCAGAAAGTTGGTTCGCTATGAATCGGTCTTACGCTCACTCGTGCTTCCTTTGACAGTCCAATGTGAGGAGGGGAGCGAAAGGGGAATCATGCGCAGCATCTGCAGGAGGAGGTGGAGGAGGACGAGGAGGAGGAGAAGGAGGAGGAGGAAGAGAAGGCACGAGGAGGAAAAGGATGAGAAGGTGGTAGAGGGGGAGGAGGAGGAGGAGGAGGAGGAGGAGGAGGAGGAGGAGGAGGAGAAGGACCATTGTAAACCCAAGACTCATCAACTGCGTTTGAATCCACCCTCCCCCCAAGGTCCCTCTCACAGGCCCTTGCTTGGGTTCAGTCCCACTGAGGAAATTGCCCCGTTGGGGGACAGCCGAGTGAAAATCCTCAAACGTGCCATAACACCATTCTCAGGACTTCAACGCCACGAGTTTCCCTGACTGTTACGTCTTCGTGATCCTGAATCGTGCCAGAACGCAATTCCTGGGACTTCAACACCGCGAACGAATGTAACCGTTGCGCCCTGACAACCCTGAATCGTGCCAAAGCACCGTTTCTGGTAGGATGTTAAGATAACCAGTGAAACTCCTGCAAATGATGCGGCGCTGAGGCGAGAGCGGCATTTTGAAAAGAAATTGCCTTCAATCCGTGAAGATCCTGCTCATTTTTGAGACGAATGTGCGCGGCGCTAAGGCGAGAGTCACATTTTGAAAATGAGCCGCCCTCAATCCGTGAAGCTCTTACAAATTTTTAAAATGTGTGCGGAGCTGAGGCGAGAGCCACATTTTGAAAAGGAACTGCCCTCAATCCGTGAAGCTCTTACAACTGTTCGAGAAGAATGTGTGTGGGGCTGAGGCGAGAGTCACATTTTGAAAAGAACCCGCCCTCAATCCATGAAGATCCTGCGGATTCTCAGGACGAGTGTGGTCGGCGCTGAGGCGAGCGCCGCATTCTGGAAACCACCCGCCCTCGAATACGCGGGGCTCTTGCAGATGTTTCCAGTGAGTGTGCGCGGCGCTGAGGCGAGAGCCACGCTGTGGAAGCGACACGCCGTCCATCTGTGCAGCTGGATCCAATTTCTAAGCTTCAGCACCATACAGTGTCGTTTTTAATACATGCTCCGCGTGCGGATCCTGTATTAAAACTGCAGGGATCCAGTATCAAAACCAACGATGAGTTCATGCATAAACTTATTCATAATTTAGTCATGTATTAAAATCATATATCTTAAACGATCCCATGTAGCAACAACTGCCCTATACATGGGGATGAGGTCTCGGGCGCCCCGCCCCGCCCGCCCTTTCGACCGACCTTGGGGTGCGACAGGGAGGTGTTATCGATAAGGCAAGGAACGGAGGAGGAGGAGGAGGAGGAGGAGGAGGAGGAGGAGGAGGAGGAGGAGGAGGAGGAGGAGGAGGAGCAGGAGGGAGGAGGGAGGAGGGAGGAGGGAGGAGGGAGGAGGGGGAGGAGGAGGAGGAGGAGCAGGAAGAGGGAGGAGGAGGGAGGAGGTGACACGTCGGCACAGCCTGCTGCCGGTTGTGCTGTGGGGGGCCCTGGGGCCGCAAGCGAGTCATGATCAAATTTTGCTGCGCCCGCCATCCAGACAGCGCCCTCCTCCGTGATCGGCACCCACGCAGACGGAGAAGCAAGCATCCCGCGGGAGTTTCTCGGGCGGGGCTAGGGCGAGCCTCAGTCCGTTCCCGAGCGCCCCAGAACGCTCTCAGAGAGCGTTCCGGAACGCTCCCAAAGGAGGCCGCGGCACCCGAAGTATCCTCCAGAACCGCCAGATCTCAGAGATTCACGACTGATCCTCGTCCGGTTCCATTCTCGTCCTGGCTTCGCCTCCTGTTCTCCTGGTGGGCACGCCGTGCAGCCCCGGCCCCGGCCTGGCCCACCCAAAGAACACGCCAGGGGTGGCGGGGCCACGGCGCGCCAGAGCGTCCAGGTTTTTCGGCGCACGTCCGGTCCTCAGCCCCGGGTGACCTGGGTTGGGCCGATGATGGGGCGACTGTGTTTGGTAGCATTCGTACGCAGCCGCTGTGGCAGGCCTCCCAGGTGGGGTCGGAGCAGATAGGGTCGGATGATCGCGCTGCATCGCCGAGGCATCGCCGATGCGGCTCGATGTGGAGCCCGATTTGCTTCACCTCGACGTCGCCGATGCATCCCCGACGTAGACGATGCATCGCTGGTGCATCCCCGATGCATAGCCGATGCATCGCCGATGCATCGGCGATGCGGCGCGATCCTCCAGCCCCTTCTAGGAGGTCTCGAATGAAGATGGGGCCACTGTGTTTGGTAGCATCCGTACGCAGCCGCTGTGGCTGAAGCGTGTGTGGCTCAAGCAGTTGTTTTCACTGAGTCCACGCTCGTTCCGTCGTTCCTTGCCGGCTTACATTTCCAACCGAGCTGTTTGCATAAATGCATCGGCGATGCTGCCATCTGGAAGGCATACCGCCTTCTCATGTATAGGTATGAACATCGCAGTATTTGCGTCTGGGTTGAAATCTGGCCGCTCTCATAGCATAGGTGTTCCGTCCAGCGGGCATACATCGCCATTTGTTTCATATGATTTTGAGACAGTGCCATCGATAGCATCTAGCAATACATTTCGAACTCGGGCATCAGCGGAGCCTTTCAAACGTACGACAGGAGTGTCCCAGCAAGCTTTGGGACGTGTTGCTGTTGTTTTCTGGAAGCAAGCATTCCGCGGCCCCAACGGTTTGGGAGTGCTGATGGACGGACGCAAACAAGTTCAAGCACTTGCGTGTACGCCCGAAGCTGAAACCATTCAGCAAGCAATATCTGCAAGTCATGT